GGCTCATGGCTGGTCTGTTCAATTAACAGGAGATGACCCTTTCACGGATTTCTTTTTTGAAGTTCTTATGAAATTATCACTGTTTATTGTCTTTACCATTTTAATTTTTTGCGTGCATGACTTTGGGATTTTTGAAACTTGGTTACTTTCCGTTATCTTCATGTTTCATGAATATTACAACATATGCTGAACTTTATATCCTAGGTTACCAGATCAACACAAAAGTCTGACGGGGGTTGTGATCAGTCAACAGAGGAAGATAATCCTTTTAGAATCTGATCCCTTTATGGTGTCTAGGAAGATGCTTGTTTTATACACTGTTTAATAACAATTTGTATTCTTTAATGGATTTATGATAACGGTCATATTACTCTTTTTCATATAAGCACGACTATATACGCTGTGGATTCGAATCTAGTACCTGTAATAAATGCTTCCAGCCATTCAAGGTAGTAATAAGCATTTCAGCTGCTAATCAGTAAAATAGTAGTATATATATTGTACACATTTGAAATATAGATTAAGAACTATAGCATATCATATAGTATTTTAGTTTATGTCATAGGTATTTAACGATCAATCCCTCTATATTTATAAACTCCTATATCATTTTCGATCCAGAACTTTAAATGCACACAACCTTTAAGAAGGCTCTTTAATCAACGATCAAGATTTTTCTTCTAATGTAAACTTGATATATAAAAGTTTTAATTTCTTTTTACAGTATTTAAGAGCGATCACTTGAAGAGTGGTTAGTATAATGGGGGCAAGTAATTTTGTAGGATACCATCAGGGCAGTAAGCGAGGCCCCAGGGGACTGACCTGGTTCTTCTGGTTCGTTTTGATAGTTTTTGGATTTTTTCTAACGGGATTCTTTTCAGATTCCTGGTTGGAATCGTCTATTTCATCTGAATACGACCACAGGACACAGGGGCTGTGGCGTTTCTGTTATTATTCTCTAGGAGAGTCCTGTTGTGGATATATCAACGAAGTAATGTACATAGAACGTAAGTGTTAAATGGTTTTGGACAGAAATATACATTTTAAAATCATTGGAGTGTTTGAAACTGAACTTTAGCAAGGATGTAAAGTATGAAACATATTCTGAAATGTTAAAATTAAAAGTAGAATGATTTTTATTCACTTTAGCATTCCTCCAAGCTACTAGGGCCTTCTTTGCAATTAGCCTGCTCCCGCAGTTTATATGCCTGATAGCGGTCTGTAAAGGAATAACTACCAGGTGGTATTCTGAGTACAAAAATATGGGAGGATATGCTGCCGGAATAGCAGGTATAGTTGAAAATAAAAAAGAGTAGTATTTTGTTAAAAAATTTCATCACATGAAAATGTACAAGGTGGGGGACATTAATTTGTGCTAATTTTCTTTTATATACTTGTGGTATTTCTTATAGTTATTCACTCAGAAAACCTTTGAATTAAAGGATATTTTCACCTTAAGTTAATGGTGAATACCGTATTCATTTTTGAGAATAAAATTCAATGTCTAGGCTATTTATCCGTGGATATAATAAAACATGCCATTAAAATATGCAAATTATATTTTCCTAAAAGAAATCCAATGGAGTACAGTTATGGATACATGTATATGTAGCCAAAATCGATGTGATTACAATCTAAGAAATATACATGTTTACAATTGAAAGTCATCGCAGTACCTTGATCGAGTAACACATAATGAGTTATTCTTGTCCTCGGAACAAAGTATGCTTATGCTGTTGTTTCTTCCGCCTGACTGACAACTGTACATTGGATGTTTACGATTTGAAAAAAAAACCGATTTGAGTGTTTCTTAAATCAAGAATGGGCATGCATAGAGAATATATAATTCAAGGAAAATGCACAAGTCTATACAAAAATTTTAAAAAATCTTTGAAAAGGCGAAAATAAAAAAAAAACTTTAAAAGTGTGTTACCAGGTAGATTCGAACCCCGACCTTAAAAAGAAGTATCCACGGTGTATTAGTCAGCGCATTTATCAACTGAGCTAGTCTGACTATAAGAATTTATTGTAGAAATCTGAAGCAGATTATCAAAATGAGGTTTCCTTATTTTTTGTACGTTTTTTTTTTTTTGTGAATTTCAAGCCTAGGGCAGGGGGACCCCTAAAATATTTCTATCTTGAATTATTCTTTACATCTCAACCTGTCTAAATACCACTGTATTATTTAGGGACAGGACTGCCCTGAAGGACTTTGAGCAAAAAGTCAACGCTTTAATGGACAAAATAGTGTTTTGGCGTACTTTGAAGGTTCATTGCTAAGTTGTAAATTAAAAAGTTTAGGTATAAAATACAAAATTGAAAAATTTTAAACATATATACGCTAGAAAACAACAAATAAAGATTAATTTTCAATTGTCGACTATTCCGGGAAATTGTTCTCTCCAATCGGTCAATTCTATTGTCAAAGTGAATACATCCTTTTTGTTCAACCGATATTGTCCAATTCTCATTAATAGAAAAAGTCAACGCTTTAATGGACAAAATAGTGTTTCGGCCTACTTTGGAGGTTCATTGTTAAGTTGTAAATTATAAATTTTAGGTATAAAATACAAAATTGAAAAATTTTAAACATATATACGTTAGAAAACAACAAATAAAGATTAATTTTCAAATGTCAACTTTTCCGGGAAATTGTTCTCTCCAATCGATCAATTCTATTGTCAAAGTGAATACATCCTTTTTGTTCAACCGATATTGTCCAATTCTCATTAATAGAATATGTAAGCCAAAAATTAAATAATTAAAACTCATTGATAATTAATGGCTAAGTTTTTTATTGTCAATTTTTTTTTCTATGGGAATATAAAGATGTAAACATTACTCACTTGAGCTCTATATTTGATGTGCTGCTTGTAAAGACATTTGGAGCAAATTAGTTTGTAATCTAAAGCAGGCAATCCTTACACTTGCATTGTTACCGTTTTGGAAGAGACTTTGAAGATTACCATTTATTTGAACATTTAACTTATTTTTTTAATTTCTAACCTAAAGACAATTTTACGTCTTTTAGACAGTATATGATCGTAAAAATCTCAATTTGAGGTAAAAATCCCAATTTATGTAACATTGTGATGGCAACGGAACAGTACTATGACATTTTTTAAAAATAACCTTTAGTTATAAAACAGTCTCTATAGAAAAGTTTATGCTAAGTATTTTTTTTATATTTTAGTTCAAGCATCCAACAAACCTATTTTGTCTGCATATAAGCCGAAGAAACACTGGAAGAAAAATTGTGTCATCTTTGCATGCTTTCAATGATTTTAACATTAACTACTATATTCAAAAATTGAATTCTATAAAAGTACATTTAAAGCAGTTGTATAAAAGCTTAGATAGTTACCCCCTTTACTGAAGATAAATTATGAGCAATGATCCCCAAAATGAATAGCCCAATTTGAAAGTCAAAATAAATGTTATTAGTATTGATTTTTTTTAATTTAATGACTGATGCATATACAACCTGTGTATGTCTATGTATTAGTTGAATTGTAAGTTATAATGTTAGGATTAAATCTTATTCAAACAGATGAGTATTTATTATAACATATTACCATTTTGTTTGCGATCTTACCTTCATCTCTGTAAGTAATATTGATCCATTTTAAGCTATATGGTGTACCAAGATCGACTTGGAACCATGCCTTATTGTGTCCAGGAGCAGTATGTGCACAGTTTTCCTCGGTCGATTTATAGTTCCCATCATTTGCATACGAGGCATTTCGGTAAATATGTTTGGCATTCTTAAAGTAATTGTATGTTGAACTTTGCGAAACTGAGGTATCGGGCTGCTTACTCAAATTATCTGCAAAATAAAATATAGCGGAATCGTTTCCTAGATATTACTTAAACCATGAAAGTTATTTCAAATAACTGAAAAGCATTTTCTTATAACACTGTAGAAACGGTTATGATATTCACTATGATGGTAGCAATCAGCCTCTTTTCTTCTTAGTGCCGTTTAGATTTATAACATGTTTGTCAAATTCTACTAATATTCAAAATCAAATTAAATAATATTCGTTATTTTATGGAGTTTCCAAATAAATTGATTTTTTTATATTGATTTATCTTTAAAGATAAGTTTTAGACATTAAGGGATATATATTCCCTTTAAACTCACGAATCATGATAATATAGTGTTTTAAAAATTGCTCGTTGAGCTCACAATACCAAGCATTTGTCTACTTTATATGCAAGAGTACTTTTATGGACAGAGGAATTTAATTCATGTATTTGAATTCTGCCAATCTTATGATTTATCAACGCCTCTAAAAGATTGTGGAAGACGAAACCAACAATATATATTCCTAATTCTCCTTATCTCAAGATTCTTTAAGTATATATTGTATAGATAGCAGAGTCTGGCACATCTGTTTCATACTTAAATATATTTTACTTGAAACATATGATAATTGTAATCTAACAATCAAGCTCTATGATAACTGTAATGACTAACTTTTCTATCGTCAACTTCCCCAACTTATGCAGGAATATACCTTTACCTCCTGCATATGGCGTTTAAATATCTCAGTTGATTAGATATGCAAAAGTATGATCTACGTAACAATGAAGAATTTTTAAATCGAGGTAACTTACTGACAAATAAGTTAATGAAACAAGAATATCAGCAGTGTTGTTTAAAGTCATCACTTCGTCAGTTCTCTAATAGATACAATGACAAAACAAATACAATTTAAAATTTAAATTTTACATACACAAAAGCCAAAATTTAAGCATTGAAATATACAATTTGCCTATATGAAAATTACATACCATAATGATGGTGTCAAGTTTAGAGGAATGCAAAACCTCCGTAATTCTATTTATTTATCGTAATTTCTTTCATATTGAAAGAAAAAAGATATGAATCAAAGATATGATTTTTATCTGATTGCTTAAAAAAGTATTTATGAACGCTTTTCAATATAGGTCTTTAAAAAGCTTTAAAACTTTAAAATATTGAATGATTCAGTTTACGACAGAAAATTTAAAATGACAATCTCAAATTCCTAGCATAGAGCAACAGTGTCTCTTTATATCGTTATTATTAAATTTCTCCTATAACGAAAGCAGATAGAGATTTTTCGTTGCAGCAGAAACACATTTGCAGGTATTTTTTTGATTGTTTATTTTACACTAAAAAGCAAGAAATGCAAAATTATAATATTTTTGTGATATCTTTTCCAGTGCTTTAAAAATATTTTTACAAGCAGATTTGTATTATAAAAAGAAGATATTTTGCATGTATTCTCTGTAAACAAAATGCTGAAAATATATATGATTTAATATACGGTATTTACAATGTCCATTTTTGTTTTGTCTGCATTCCATATAAATTTCATTATCACTTCATAGATTACGAAAGCTTAATTTTTTGTGTTGAGAGGGATGTTTGATTCCACGTATTTACAAAGTATCTTGCCATATTCGTTATGTGGTACATGTTTTTAAAAGATCTCAATACAATGAATGTACTTTTTGTCTAATGTCCCTTCCAGAAGTTTTCACTCATACAGAGGCGCCATAAATTGCTGGTTGAGGATTGATAGTTAAGACCAGAACTACTTACTAAGAACCTTTAATTAACTGTAATTTTTTTCGTACCAGCACCGACTCCTATAGTAAAACGAGACCTTGGTTTCCATAAAATGATATTACTTTTTGTTTGAAAGATGTTTGTGAAAAACTGGACATTTAATTCAGATTAAACCAACAGAATACAGGTAATGTAACCCGTTGAAAAATGCTAACAAAAAATGAAAAAACCATTGATAATTAATTCATGTTACTGCCTGTTGAACTTTGGTGATTGTAAAATATTCTCTCCATATTTCACATTGTCAAGTTTAATATAAATGTATTATTATCAAAATGAATTTTAAGCATGAAAAAGAAATCATTTAAAAATATGAAATGCATATAAATAGATAAATCTTATATTTTGACATAAAGAATTCAATTAATATACATATCAATGAAATTTCAAGGTAACGAACAGTATTTAAGCTCATACGTCCATCCAAGCAATACAAATATTCTTTCACTGATAAGCAATTAACAGTGTTGTTAGAAACTGAATTTCTCAATTTGAAAAATCATCTCTCCCACAGATTTAAAGTACATTATCTATAAGAAGCAGTCAATTATCTTCAATAACTCTTTATCATACCATAACAAATTTCTTTTGTTGAAGAAAAGCAATTTAAATTTTTATCAAATTTCAAAGAGCGAATTTGTTCCTGAAAATTATTCTAAGTCATTCCATT